AAGAAATCGTGAATAAAATTAAACAAAGAAAGCTTGAATATCTAGGCCACATATTGAGACACGATAAGTACCGTCTGCTACAATTGATTGTCCAGGGAAAAATAGACAGTAAGCGAGGGCCAGGCAGGGAAAGACACTCGTGGCTCCAAAATCTGCGGAAGTGGTTCGGGCTCACATCGGTCGAACTATTCAGAAGCGCCGAAAACAAGATCAAAATTGCCATGTTAATAGCCAACGTTCGCAACGGACAGGGCACTTGGAGAAGAAGAAGTCCATTTAAAATTGATTTTTAGTGAAAAGTTTTCCATCTTTTTATCGTAAACTCAATGCTCCAATTTACGGAACCTTAATTAATGGTGGATACCAAGGAAAAATGAAAAAAACCCACTTTTGTGATACCTAATTGTTGTAGATTTGTAGTTGTTAGTTCCCCTAAAGTTCTTCTTGGTAAATCCATAATGACGATTACTATTATGTATAAGTAAGTTATAAAGTAAAAAACTGATTATTTTTAAGGCTCTTGTCACAACTTGTTAAGATTGATACCGTAATTTAGCTTAAGATTTACAATCAACTACTAAAAATTGCCAGAACAACTACATATATGTTTTCATTCCACGTTTTTAAGATTAATATTTAAGTATTTTGTTGCAATTATGTTTATTACGTATTTTGTAAAATCAGTTGTTTGTGAAGTTAATTATACTGTTATTATCAGAGAAAATATTTTTTAAGGTTTACTACACAGGTGATCTTGGAATTTCAGACTAACGTGTAATTTTTTGTGTTTAAATGTATTGTAACCTTGATGTAGTTAGTTTCGTAATAGTCAATGTTTTTTGTTGTTGACTATGGATGCTTATTTTTGTTTCCATAATTAATGGACTGCATATTCTTTATTTTTAGGTATTTTTTCCAATAGCTAAGTTCCTGACTTCAAGTATATTCTAAATATCTCGATATCGTTTTTGATTACATAGCAGACAAAATCAACTTTTCCCATTTTATGATTGAAAATTATATTGATCTTTCAGCTTGCCACTGGCTACTTGGATATGTTGTGGATATTGTTCATCCCTAAATTCATTTGGTTGAGGTATTCTTCGCTTGCTGAACTTTCTTTTAAGAGTTTGCAACTGAACTCAAGATCACACCGCAGATGAGCTTTACTACCCAATATCAAATAAGCGGGGTTCTGGCCGGTTAGTTTATTCACAGCTGATCAGTAGACCAACAGGAATAATTGGTTGTACTGGTCCTAATCTCTTTTATGCTCGTATATAACTTTGGAACAATTTTTGCTTATCGTTAGATTCATATTCTCGACCATTTAATTTGACTGAAGATGCAAGAGTGACTTTATAATCTTATTGGCACCAATTATTCTACAAATATTATGAAAAAGTACCAAATCGAAATTTTGGCCTTGGTCTAAATATTTTTTAAGGAAGCATCAAAACAGATAATTAATTGTTTATGCAGGTTCAATGGCTTTTTACCAACTAGAGCATAGTTTGCTTTTCACAGTTCGTATTTTTAGCTCCATCTCTTCATATTTTTAATACAGAAAAACCACTGGAACTGTTCTCGAAGGCGTCATAATATTTTATTATTGCAAAAGCGTCGATATAATTCATCGTCATGTAACTGATGCAACATTTCTGAGACTTTATTTTACTATCGTCATTTTCTATTTATGTTCTATACAGAAGATCATCCTCCAATAGGTTCTAAAAGGTTTTAACTTGTCAACTATAGGCACTTTCGCCAAAGAGGATTATGTGCGAAATTTAAAACATGAACTACTAGGATACATCCAAAAATATTTTTATAGATGCTTAAACAAAGAAGCTGTTCCTTCAAAAAATTTGCTCCTCTCTTCAATCAAGGCTTGTTAGGGAAAAGCGACAGGCAAGAAAACAACAAAAGAAAGTTGTGGGAGAACTTTTACAAGTGTAAGTATTGGGAACTTTTATTGTGTTTCAATTATTTCTGTTATATAATTTTTTACAAATGTGATACTAACCATACTAGTTTAAATAAAAGCAATCGGAATGGTACTGATAACAGTTTCACTAGTAGTACAATTTTAGGTGATTGCTTGGCAATAAATTTTGCTTGTACTAGTTTGTTAGAAGAATCATCTTCTAGCAATGGGTATGTATGTTGTTTTGATTGTTTACAATCATCAATAGTAAATCATTTGAATGCATTTAATTTTTCTACCATTTAGTGATTTTGGTTTAGTAAAATTAGGGCAATATAATAATCATTTATTTGTTTTAATATGATTATTAATTTTTTAGTATAAATACAGACCGGCAGTCAGAAGAAAAAGATAAAACAATTGCTGATCTGAAAAAATAATTAAAATTTTAGAAAAAAGACAAGACCTTATCGGAAAGTTTTTCAGCAATGAAGAGCTTAAAAAATTTAGAGGTATGGACACTTAACATATGGGCATAGTTACTATGAGCATTATTAAATTAATTGTTAACCAATTTTTCTATATTTAAGGTTCAAAAACTCGTCTTTGATGGTCTATAGAAGATATACCCAAGGCACTTGTTATTTATTCGGCTGGTCCAACAGCATAATATAGGCTTATTTTATTAAAAGGGATATCCTTTTCCTGCTGTGCCAAGTCTTCGATCATGGCTTAAAAAAATTTAAATTGCCCCAGGAATATTAAAAATGTTTTCAACTTTATGAAATTGACTGAAATGTCTGATACGGACAAAGTATGTGTAATGTGCTTTGATGAAATAAAAATAAAAAAGAATTATTTATATGCTAAGGCAAATGAAGAAACTCTCAGGCCATACAGTTATGCCCAAGTTATAATATTAAGAGGATTGTTCAACGCTTGGAAGCAACCAGTCTTTTATGACTTTGACTGTAAACTTTCCAAGGAAAAAATATTTGAAGTAATAAACTATGCTGAATCATTTAGCATTAGCAGGTATTATAATTTAGCATTCGCATAAATATATATTGTCTGACGTTTGCAAGGAAATTGAATGAAATAGACCTTAAAAAATTGCATATCTCAAATGATTGCCATACTTAGCAGAAAGAATTTTTGAGAAAAACTGAATTCGGTTTTCCTGTATTATTATTTTTAATAATTGAGTACAATTTTTGTAGGTTTCCAGTTAGCAGCCATGGTAAGTAACCTGGGAAGCAGTGATATATCACTTTATAATGAACTGAATATTAGTCATACTAACACATGGTTTACAAATCCAGCAAATAATAAAAAAATATTTGTTTTTGCTGATGTGCCTCATTTAATAAAGTTGATTAGAAACCATTTTGTAGATCAAGGGTTTATACTGAAAGAGAAGAAAATAAACAAATCTATATTAAAAGAAGTTATAGATGTAATTAGCTCGTCAGACCTTAAGATAAGCCATAAGATCACTAAAGATAGTCTTAACGTCCAAGGAGCTGAAAGACAAAAAGTGAAATGGTCAAGATTGAAGGCAAGAAACTGCAGGAAACGGGTATCTTTTTTTAAAAGCAATCTGTAAGATTAAGAATAATATGAGTGTCATATGTCTGCATTTCAATGAATGACGCTGAGGAATGAACCATGCTCTTGGACCGGCAGAATAGATAACTATTGCTTTAGGTATGTCCTCAACTTTCCATTTAAGGCGAGTTTTTGAATTTTCTAATTTTTTAGGTGCTCCTCGCTCCTTTTTTACCTTTCAACCATCGATATGTTTTGACGTCGACTACAAATATTTCTCCGGTTTTGCAAATACAACATAATAAATAAATTGGTATTTAAAGCTAATAAAAACTGTTTTATAAAATGTTTTCTATTTTTTATTTAACCCAAAAACGTATTAAATTTTGGAAAGGAAGTAAGCATTTAGTTAATGTTGAAATTTAGTCCTAGAAGAGACCTAGAATAAATCATCCAAGAATCATAGCTATAACCTGTATGCACAAGTTCCAGTGCAAACAAGAAAGAAAATGGACAAAAAGACAATCAAAGGTTATTTGATTAGTTATGAGGGAGAAGATACAGAAAAATGTTTGAAAAGTTTTTTTTGATTATCAGAAATCAGTTCAGTTGCATCTATACGATAATACCTCCCTATGTATCCCAGATCTTTTATGTTATGATTTGTTTAGAGCAGCAAGTTCTAAAATAAAAATAGCCATTATGATTGCCAACCTCCGTAGGGAGACGGCACACTAAGAAGAAGAATGTATCCCAGAATTTTTATATTTATTTAAAAATGACAATAATTATATAGATATTTTTCACATTTGCCTACTTTACCTTTAATAAATCCATAATTCACAAAAGTTTACATCCGTACGTTTACAATCCGTAAGATTTCAGTCTACATGTTATCGGTTGTTTTAAATTGGCGCCATTAATAGTCACCTCATGACGTCATGCGCGGAACCGAACGGATTTGAAACACTTTGGTATCATATCTTTATATTATAGTATCATGGTCGGTCTACAGTTAACTGGCGCATGCCCAGTAAGGAAGATTATTATGACGGTGAGCTTTGTTTTCCTCAGTACTTCAGCCCTATTAGTACATGTCTGGTCAAAATATATTTTGCGATTATCTGAACGTTACGTCTTGGGTTAAATCTTTTCTTGTTTTTTTGTTAACAATAACAATGAATCTGTTTCCCGGTAGATACCTTGTTTTGTATAATGAGGATTATTGTTTCAATTTAAATGTCCATATTTTTATGGAGCATTAATTACAGTTTTTGTTTAAATTATTTTTAATCTAGGTTTGCTCAATTAAAAAGCATAATAACAGAGTTGTTAAAACTTTTGTAAGTTATACCTAGATTTTTTAGTATCTGTACCTATGCCAAGTCAAATGAAGTATATACACCATTTTAGGAAAAAAGGAAGTAAATAATTCGACGCGCGACGTAAAAAACAACAAATTTTGATGGATTCGACAACTGCAAACGATTTACAAGATTAATTTCCCCTCCACCAATGGTTTAATGTCTCTGTGCGTGATAAATAATATGGTATTAAATCAATTTTCTCAGTTACTGTGTTCATTCATAAGTTAAAAGTTCGCTAAAGATGGCTCCCACTTTGTACATGATCCCATTTAGTAGTGCTGCAAGGTCAGTAATTCTGTGTGCCAAGGCTCTTGGAGTAGAACTTAATGAGAAACAAGTTGATCTTCTTAATAGAGAACAATTTACACAAGAATTTCTCAAGGTAGTTATCTCATATAATAATTAATAAATTATTTCTATTTTAAGGTTCCGTCATTATTAAGACATTAAATATCTGTGTATAAAATATAATTTTCACATTTTTTAACAATATTAATGTTACGATTAAACTTATATTTGTGGTAATACTTATATTTTTATATCTTACTAGTAAAATTTTTGATTTTTCCGGTAGTACTCCTTTTATCTAAAAATGTATTAGCATGACATGTATTCACCGTTTTTTTTTTATAAATCTTTCTCATCTTTAATTGTTCTTCCTCCTACTCCGTCGCTTTTATTTGTGGCTTAATAAAATTCTCTACTTTTCTCGATTTGTTGTCTATTTTCTTATTCTGTTTTTAATCACTGATTTTTAATTACTCTTGACTTTGTGATTGTCGTACGCTATATTTTATAACAGGAGATAAGGTTTAAGGTCACCTGGTATCTGTTTATTTATAAAAATATCGATTATAACTGCAGAACCAGTAATATTGAAGGCCAGTTGGGATTGCATAATAAATATACTCAGTCTTCTCATACTTTAACGTTTTTTCATAAATTTAGTTTATAGAGAAAATCAATTGACGATTCATTGAAGCTTAAGGATATTAATATATTAAGTAGTTTCATGGGCGCCATCAGAATTATATTTAGGGGGTGCATCTGCTTTAAGGGGTTGCATTTGCATCTGCACATATTACTAACCAATATAAAACATAAAACTATACATATATAGCTCGGTACTTTCTTCGGGGACAGTAGGGTGCAATTGTACAGTTTATTTGTAGTTTTAGTTGTAGAAATAGTTCATTGCTTTATAATCTCGAAGATGCTTGCCTGCAATTCCTTAAAAGACGATTATTTTTACACATGAGAAATATACGTAAATTCGGAGAATGAAATGTGATTTGTTATTGAGGTCGTACCATCTGTTTTAGAAATATACATAATATCTAGACTACACTCTGCATTCTAAACCTGTTCTCCAAATACGACAGAAAACATATACGAGCAGTCCTTGTATCTCCTTTCTAATGGCCAGGGGCTAATCGATTACGTGATCTTCCCATTAACATACAATCTCCATTTGGAAGGTTACGTGGTCGATAAACACCGTCCATTAGAAAGATAGGCATAGGACTGTTTGCATCTTTTTTCTCTGCCGCACTTGCGGAACGGGTTTAGGTTGCAGCGCGATATCTGGGTAATATCGTAGACATATAATACAAGATAGACTGACTGCCCCAATACAGTCACGTTTCCCAAGTTTGACAGAGAAACCTGACAGCAAAGCAGTCCCTTCATTTCTGTTTAATGGACCGGGTTTATCAACCACATGACCTTCTCATTGGTCATTTAAATCACGTGATTAATTAACCTGGCAAATTAAAAAGAGATGCAGACAGTGCTTTGCGTCAGTTTCCTCTGTCACTCTGGAGGAATGAGCTAATATTGCAACGATATTTAGTCAACGATCAACATTCTATCTTGTATTATATGTATATGGGGATTATATGTTCATAGTTTAGGTTGTGTTAGGTTAGGTTTATTATGAGTAGGCGCTTAACTACTGGCGCTTAACTGACTTAACAATAATCAAATGTATTAAGCCATATCGTACCCAAACCTGGGAAGTTGCACAAAATGTGTTCCATCGTCTCATCTTCAGCCTGACAAAATCTGAAGTACACACTTTCTGTAATTTAGATTTGATTTATGTGACCGTTGAGGCCACAGTGTTGTGTTAATAGACCTACGATAAGTTGCAAGTCACTTCTATTTATATCTATAGGCAAGGCAATGAAGCAATAAACCTACAAAATTTTTGGAGTTTTATAGATCTCAATGAAACTTGTTGCATTCGATTCGTAAAGGTGTCGGGAAGTTTTGTGTGAACAAAAATGATAATGTGGAAATGAAATTTGTATTATTGAACAAGGAAAATGCATTTCATGTGATAAAAAATGGTAAACCCAGTTGGGAGTTTTGTGGTCACTGAATACGAGTATCATGACGGCGATGGTATCCGAGGCACCTGGTGCACCCGGGCCTCGTCTCCTAGAGTTCTTTGAAAATTCGATACAAATCAGTGCAAACTCGTTACTTAGGGTTTGTTGGGATCGCTGGACACTAATTTAATATGGGCAATGGTATGAGCTGCACCTGGTGCCCAGGACGGGCCTCGTATACTGGATATTTGTAAAAATTCGATACAAAATCGTTACGAGTTTTGGTGTCACTGAATACTAATATCATATCGACGATGGTCTCCGAGGGACATAGTGCGCAAGATGGGCCACATCTTCTCGAGTTTGTGCATCGTGGAGCATTGAAGACTGATTACGTAATAAATTTCTGCAAAACTCTAAGAGACAGTGTCCGTTCTGGGCACCAGGTGACTCGCATACCATCGCTGACCTAATATTAGTGTTTAACTAATTACCGACCACCTGATCTACCATCATCATTTTTTTTTCAGAAAAGCTATTGACACTCATACGAATCGAATGCAACAAGTTTCCTTAAGAACCATTTAGCTGCAAAAATTTGGTAAATTTTTGCCAAAAATTTGTGCTTTGAGCCTTTTACTGCTCTATTGCCATGCCTACTATTCTTTTGATCTCTTTTTTGAAGATTTAGGTATAAAAGCTCTCGAATCTTTAAGGCGCATTTGTACGTGTCGATGGTTACATTTAATCTGTTTCCCCAGTCCGATATCGTTTTTTTGGCTTTGCTTCTTGGTATGCTAACGAGAGGTTCTGAGCCTATGAATGTGTTTTCTCTCCCTTGGCGGTAGGTCCACTTTTTTGTTGCCTTCTAGGCACTGAGAATAAACTTGCTCTCTTACATTTTTTTTATCTGATTCGAATCAGATTATAAAGACAGTTACAAATTAACATTTGATATAAATTAGTACGTTGAAAAATGCTTCTTAAGGGAGCTAACGCTTTAAAAAGAATTAAAACACAAATAATCCAAAATGAAAAACGTAAAGAATGTTAACTAATACAACCAATGAAGCCAATGTAACGTTAGTACTTTGTACGTCCTATACTCTAAATTAATACATTCATATCCCTCGCTAGACTAAGCATGAAACTCTAAATGATCTTTTTAGAGTATTCTCCAACTTTTTAGGTACTATTTCCATCATTTAATTGTGTTTAAGTGAGGTAATACCCTCTACATTTTAAACAGATATTTTGGGTCTATGGCTATAAATTTTTCTACTGTCTTTCTACCATTTTTTCTGTTCTATATTTTTTCATCCCCTCTCTACAAACAGTCTTGTGTCTATCTTACATCTGCTTATCCCAATCAGAAACCTAACGAACTATTTTTTATAACGTTCTGGTTAATTTCCAGTATTCTTAAAAGCTCTCCAATTTCTGTACTTTCATGCTTGTTCGTTTTCTTATATATTTTTTATAATTTTCGATATATTAAAACCACTGTCTAACGACTACTCCAGATAACGATCACCAGCATCTGTGTTTATTCTCAAAATGATAAAAAACCTTCAATAAAAACCGCATCAGAGATATAAAATATTTAAAATTTTAACGAAAAACACCCACAATACATACTTTATCGTATTGATGTAACCATAAAATTGATCTATGTGCATCGCTCTCTAAGCACTGATTTTTTAAGACAAAAATGTCTTTCAGCTCAAGGAGTTTTGACGAATATTAAATAACACTCCACTTATGCTTCAGGGAAATAATTCAAATTTAACCGTGTTCAGGACGTCTCAATAGCCAGGTGTTTGACGAGTTTTTCTGGTAATATTGTAAGAAAATTCAAAAAAAAAGCAAAATAGTCCAACATCGTTAACTATGTGTAACTTTTGCAAAAATTAACTTACACTTTTGTAATTGTTCTTAAAGTAGTATTTATATTCCGATGTGGGATAAAATGTGGCATATACTTGGTACGAGTATGCCAGAACATCTAATCTATTTAATGTAAATGTAATGCAGAAACTGTAAATGTAAAATGTAAATAATACCGCTAATGTAAGAGTTAATAATGTGGTTTCGAAAAACTTCAAATTAAAATCTGGAGTTCGAAAGGGATGTATAATATCCCCTCTTCTATGTAATATATATATATATATATATATATATATATATATATATATATATATATATATATATATATATATATATATATATATATAAGAAAAAAGAAGTACTTGTATATATATATATATATATATATATATATATATATATATATATATATATAGTGAACATGCGTCAAGTTTTTGAGGAATGGCAAGGTGGACCAACGATAGGAGGAAGAAAAATAAAAAACCTACGTTAACAATGTGGCGATCAACAAAAGATACATAAATGTGTGTTTCATAGATTATGAAAAGGCCTTTGATAATGTCAAGCACGAAAATTTAATAGAAGTTTACAAAAAAATAACATCAATCCCAATATTGTTCTGAAGCTATTTTCTTGTGGCATTGTAAATTAATTACTATTAAACTGGGAATAAGCCACAATTAAAGATAAAAATACGTTTATTGACGTTTCAATTTCCACTTCGGAAATCGTTCTCAAAATACAAACAGTAAATTTACTGTAAGTTTACTGTTTACTGTTTGTATTTTGAGAACGATTTCCGAAGTGGAAATTGAAACGTCAATAAACGTATTTTTATCTTTAATTGTGGCTTATTCCCAGTTTAATAGTAATTAATCAATCCCAATGATATAAACATAATACGTGAACCCTATTGGGATCAAAATGCATTTATTAGAACGAAGATGGGGGACACTAAAACATTAAAAATTCAAAGAGAAGTTAAACAAGGTTGTATACTCTCGCTTTTATTATTAACCTAAACTTAAAGGAGATATTTGCATGAGCTTTGAATCTAGAAGGTATTAAAATCAACCAAGGAATTGTTAATAATATCCGATATGCCGACAATACGGTATTATTTGCCGAAAATCAACAAGAAAGTACAAAATATGCTGTACAG